CTTTTCACGGAGGACAGATAGTACCAGGAATTCCTGGCTGATCCAAAATCAATAGTCGTGTCGTTAAAAATAGGTCTGAGTAAATTTACGTCTTGGTGAAATTCCAAATTAATGGAAGAGTTCATTAAGGAAATTTACCCACAGATGCTGAGGGTGCCAGGCTTTTGTAGTTTGAAATAGAGCTCAGAGTGTTTTTCTGTCCGTGTAGCCTTCCTGAACCATATTCTTAGATACATATCTCAAGCCTTAAGCTGTATTTCATTCATACATTACATACTTGACTCTTGTATGTGCTCTGACCAGAGATGGAACCCGCAAGCTTGTTGTATCAGGACACTGCTCTAACCAATTGAGCTACCTGGCCAGGGTCTGTACTTCATTCTAATGGGGAGCGCAAGGGTGGGGTGGCAAAGAACAGATTTGGTAAATTTCACTTGAGGACGCATCCGGATGAAGGATGCCATGCCCCCCCCCCCCCCCGGGGCTCAGGTGCTCCCAGAAGGACGCTCAGTACCGGTAGGCGCCCTGCTGCAGGCGGAAGTCCAGCTTCTGTCCGTCCTTCCACCAGGCCACGAGGGGCTTGGGGGAGCCCCTGGCCTCGCAGGGCAGCGAGGCGGGGGTGTGGGCTGTCAGGGTCAGGTTGGAGGGGCTGGGGGCGATGGCGGGAGGCTCTGGGGAGAGAGCAGTGTCAAGAGACAGTGTGCGGACGGGGGAGGCCCGGGGACCCCACCACTTCAACCCCCCAGGAAGCAGGGAGTGGAGGCGGGAGAGAAGCCCCTTGGGGAACTCCCACGGGCTCCCAAAGTTTGGGTGATGGGCCTTTGCTCACCCCAGAGGCTGGCGACCCCTAACTGCCTGTCCTGGAAGAGACCTGCGGGCTGTCACAGCCCCCACCAGCCTGGCCCAGGCCGGGGCCCGCACACGGCCTCCAAGGGGATGGGTTGGAGTGGGAGAGCAGGCCAGAGCACCCGGCTCAGCGATTCTGAGTCTTATCCTTGCAAATGGTTTATATCTTGTGTGTTTTATCACTCGCTCAATATCATAGCATAGCCCAGTGGCTCAGTGGTTGAGCGTCCACCTATGAACTAGGAGATCACGGTTCGATTCCTGGTCAAGGGCACGTGCCCGGGTTGCAGGCTTGATCCCCACTGTGGGGCATGCAGGAGGCAGCCGATCAATGATTCCCTCTCATCGCTGATATTTCTACCTCTCTCCCCCTTTCCCTTCCTCTCTGAAATCAATAAAAATAATAGCATAATAGTGAGTGTATGTAACATATGTATAAAAATAAACATGCATCTTTTGCGCATATTTTACTAATGAGCTTCATGGTCAAAAACATTTGGAGACCATTGCTGTTGGCTGCTGATGCTAGAATGACCCAGACACTAAGCAGGACCCGGTCCCATCACGGGGTGGATGCTGAAGGCAAGGAACACACCTTCCTCTGTCCACCTACCGAAGACGCGGAGGTCACGGGCCTGCCGGTCAGAGCCCGCAGAGTTGGACGCCAGGCAGAGGTAGTGGCCAGAGTCCTGGGCAAGGACTGGCTGGATCCTCAGGGAACCCTCGGGCAGAACATGCAATCTGGAACCGGAGGGAGGGGTTGCCATGGAGACCCAACCCCGAGTCCTGCATCTGTGAGGCTGAGGTTAGCGGGGCCACAGCTGTGCACCCCCCAACCCAGCATCAGGCAGGGCAAGAGGCTGCTTCGGGCCTAGCCTCTCCCCGAGAGTCAGCAGGCAGAGGCACCCCACCTATCTGAGAATGGCCTCTAGATATAAGAACGGCCTCTTCGAAAGGGGTCATGTCAGTTCTGTGTAACCCCGCCCCCAGCCCCAGCTGATTGGACTGAGGAGGAACACGTCACTCAGGCTGAGCCAATGGAATTCTCTGCCCTGGGAATTTGGAACTGGGGCTCCCAGACAGCTCTCTAGGCTCTGCAGGTTGTGTGAACTGAGGACTCTAACTTGGGGGCCACAGGAAGCCATCTCTGTGAAAGAAGGTGCAGAAAAAATTGATTATGAGAGAGAGAGAGAGAGAGGCAGAAAGCCCCCATCCTGCCCCCAGAAACAGAGATGAGCACCAAAGGATCAAACCACACAGACAGACAGACAGCCACCAGGGGTTCGAGACGCTCTTGACAAACAGGCATGCCTATCCTTGGGTTCTGAGCACACCTGTGGCCTAACGATACACGCAGTCACCTTCTGCTCCAACCGCGCAGGTGGCTTTCTGTTTGTGACCTGCAAAGTGGCACCTGAGACCTTCCCCTTCCAACTCTCACCTGGGGCTCCCAAGGTCCAGGGGGGCCCCGTCCTTCCGCCAGCTCATGAGGGGTGGCGGGGCCCCCTCCGCCTGGCAGGGCAGCAGGATCGTCTGGTTCACGGAGGCTGATCGCCGCTGGTGGTCCCGGGCTGGATGGAGGGCACCGCTTGGAGGAGGGCCACAGAGGGGGCGGGTTCCGGGACCCGCGTCGCCGAGGGCGGTGCGCAGTGCGCGTGCGGCAGGCCCACTCACTGTGGATCTCCACGCGGAAGGCCACGCTGGTGCTGCCCGCGCGTTGCGGGCCGTGCAGCTGTAGTTGCCGCTGTCGGCCGTGCTCAGGGCCTGCAGCTGGAGGAACCGGCCCTGCTCTGGGAACTGGGTGTGGGCGTCTGCCTGTAGACCCCCCGGGTGGAGAGACCCTGGTCAGTGCTGGGCTGGACCGGGCATGTCCCCAGGCACAGCCAGAGAGGACCCAGGAATGGGGGGGAGGCGGGCAGGGGCCTCGGCCCGTTGTGGGCTGGCCTGTAGCCCTGGCCTGATGCCCAGCGGAGGACCCTCCTGGGAAAAAGGCTCTGCCCACTGGGAGGGTGTGGGGGGGCTTCTGCTCAGACAGGAGTGGGACCTTCCACCAGAAGGACTACACTCCTTAGGTGCCCAGCAGCGAGCCCCCCGTTTCAGGGCTGAGCCCAGAGAAGCTCAGTAACTGGCCCGGGGCATACAGCACTCAGTGTCGCTCAGAGCTGCAATGGGAAGAACGCCGGAGTCGTCAGAAGCCCCGCCCACACCCGAGCTTTGGCTCAGGGTCCCCATCCACAGTGTGGGGACAATAGCAGCGGGAGAACATCAGCGGGCAGGTGTGCCAAGTGCTGGTGCAGGCAGGTCAGGGTCAGGGCCTGAGCGGGACAGAAGGAGGGGTCCCTGGGCCCCCAGCCTGGCGCCCACCTGCAGCAGGATGCCATCTCGGTGCCACTCAATCTCGGGGGCGGGATCCGCTTCCACGGAGCATTCCAGAACCAGCTGCCCCGGGCCAGGCCAACCACAGAGCGGGGCCTCGGGCCCAATAACGTTTGGAGGGGCTGGGGGCAAAGAGAGAGCATGAGCGATGGACCTTCCCCTGCAGGTCCCATCCTGCCTCCCTCTCCTGCCTGCCCCTGACACCCCTACCTTGAACCCTGACCCGGAAGCTCTTCTCGATTTCGCCAGCAGGGTTGTGGGCCACGCAAGTGTACAGCCCATCATCGCCCACCTGGGGACGGAGCAGGGTAAGCAGCCACTCCTGGCTCCAGGCTGTCTACCTCCTGGTCTCCTTCCTTTACAACTAAGGACCCCGCTGAGCCTGCCCTCCCACTTTCCAACCAACCCATTCCCCTCTCTGGATGCTTCTTCTCTATCTCCATCTCACCCTTGCTTTCGGGTTAGGGCAAAGCCTGCCTCCTCCAAGAAGTCCCCCCTGACTGCACCGGCCCTCCTCTGGTTATATGGTTTCTGCATCAGCCTTGGCTCTGACCGGGCTGGGAGCTCCTGAGGGCATGGCCCAGGTGGGTCATCCCCACATCCTTACCCCACACAGAAGAGGAGCTCAGCCAAACCTTGCCAGATGCTGCTGGGACCCTCTCCCCCTCCCCCAACAGCAGGCAAGACAGCAGCACCTGCACAGCCTCCACCCGGAGCCGCTGCCCAGTCCCTCTGCTGTCCTCCTGGCTGTCCAGGGCCTGCCCGTCCTTATGCCAGGTGATGTTGGGCAAGGGGGTGCCCCGGGCATCACAGCGAAGCTCCAAGGGGGCGCCAGGGGTCAGCGACAGCTCTGCGGGCTGGCCCGAGTCCTCCATGTGGGGGGGATTTACGAAACGCCACACCGGCATCAGCTGGGGGGCCCTTGTTGGAGAAGTGGGAGCTGGGGTGCGTCCCCCGCCCCTACCGTCCAGGTGCTGGCAGTGGACAGAGCAGGCAGAGCCATAAACAGGCGGGGGGGGGGGGTGTGTGCGGGAGGCCCTAAGAACAGGAGGAACCATGGCCCATCTGCCTGGGACAGTTACTCCTGCTTTAACACTAACAAGGACGCAGTGTGGAGGAGCAGGCACAGTGGGCACACGTTTTCCTAATACACAGCGACACTTGTAGAACTCCTGTGCTTGAGATGTAGGACTCCACTCCCGCCCAGATTTCAGCGGCTCTTGCCTCTGCTTTACATGGTCTGGGGACAGGACTGAGGAGGCAGCTCCAGGAGAATGAAGCATCCCCACTGCCTGTTCCCCAAACCCTGCTCCAGGCCCCTGGGGCACTCGGCTCCCTCTCCTCCTCCTCCATCACCCCCCAGGCCCGCCCGCCCCTCCCTGGCCCAGGGATGCTGGCCCTGGGGGCAGATGACCCACCCATCACCGTCAGCTGGAAGTGCCTCCGTGCTTCCCCCGCCTCGCTCACAGCCACGCAGGAGTAGGTCCCTGAGTCCCCGGCTCCTGCCGTCTCCAGCTGCAGGCTGGGCCCCTGTTCCAGACTCTGGAGGAACAGGGGCTCCCCGTCCTTCATCCATGACACTAGGGGCAGGGGGCTGCCCTGGGCTTCACAGGGGAGGACCACCGGGGAGCCACGGACCACTGCCACATTGTTCTGGAACTCCGCCGGCTCCAGGACAGGGGGCACTGTGCAGGGCAGAGGGTGGGCACGCGTCATTCCACCCCGTGCCAGGTGGCCCTCCCCTGGACCTTCGCTCTGGACAATCCCTTCTCCTCTCCAGTCCTCGCCTTAGGCCTCACCTCCTCCAGGCAGCCTTCCCGGAACGCTTGAGGCCGGGTGCAGTGCCCGCTCTGTGCTCCCCCAGCGCCCCGACCTTCCCCTCGCAGCACCAGTCCCCTGGGATTGTGGTCACCTCTTTACAGAGCGGTGTCCTGCCCTGCCCTCCTAGCGGCAGTGGCCACCTCTGCTCACTGCTGTACCCCAGTGCCTGGCAAGTTCCTGCCACCCCACGGTGTCCAGCGACTACTCGGGAGGTGAACAGATCAGACCGAGTCGCCGTGTTTGCTCACACAGGCCTTCATTCTTACACCCCAAGGCCGAGGACGGACCATGGCACGCCGCTGCTCCGTACCGTGCACCTGCAAGGTGAAGTTCCTGTCGGCCACGCCGGCGGGGCTTGCAGCCACACAGGTGAAGACGCCGGCATCTGCCAACTGCACCCGGGAAATCCTGAGCCCCTCGAGAAAAGGGGGAGAGAGGACAGAGAAGGGGGGGCTCAGTGCAAAGGTCCCTCCCCTCCCCCATTCTCATTCTGCCTCCCAAAGGCTTGCCAGTCAAAAGGGCGGCTCTGTTTCAACGCCTTTCCTGGCTCCCTGTGCCCTCAGAACAGAGGCCCAGACGCCCCGGCCCGGCCCCGGCCCGGCCCCGGCCCCGATGCCACCTCCACCATCTCATTCCACAGCTGGGCTGCCTCCTCCCCCTCGGGAGCCCCACTGCCCTCCTAGGACGGCCTGCCTCCCCCACCCCTTTTCTTTCTTTTTTAAAAAATATATTTTTATTGATTTCAGAGAAGAAAGGAGAGGGAGAGAGAAACATCAGTGATGAGAGAGAATCAGTGATCAACTGCCTCCTGCACGCCCCACACTGGGGATCGAGTCCACAACCCGGGCATGTGCCCTGACCGGGAATGGAACCGGGACCTCCTTGTTCATAGGTCCACGCTCCACCACTGAGCCACGCCAGCCGGGCCTCCTCCACCCCCTCTCTTCTAGATAATTCCTCATCTTCAGGACTCACCAGAGTCGTCCACTGTCTGTCCCCCACTTTCTCTCGAGCCCCCTTTCACCTCACCCACTCCTCCTGAGCCGCTGCTCACCCTGGTGGCCGGGGGTGCAGTCCACCCTCGCCCCGGGGCCGCAGCCAGTCCTGGCTCCCAACACCACCTGCTGCTGACAGTCCCCACACGGCTCTCTCCACAAACGCCTGGTCACCATCCTGCCCGGACGCCTGAGAGCCTCCCAAACCCGCCATGTTCCAGCTGGACTCGGGTCTGCCCTCAATCTGTCCCTCCACAGCGGGCCCATCTCAGAGCACAGGGCCCCAGCCTTCCCAGGTCCCCGATGGGAGCCTCGGATCAAGTCAACTCCTCCCTGTCGCTCACCTCTGCCCGCCTCACCGCAGGCTCTGGTCTAGGCCGCACTGGGTCTCGCCTCCCTGCTCTGCCCTTGACCCCACAGCCTGCTGTCCACACAGCAGCCAGAAGGACCGTGTAAAAACCCAAGTCATAACCCGAAAGAACTGAAGCGAAGACTCGAAGAGGTATTTGTACACCTGTGCTCACGGCAGCATCACTCACAACAGCCAAGGTGGAAGCAACCCCAGTGTCCACCGAGAGGTGATGGAGGAGCGAAATGTGGTCCATCCCCACAGTGGAGAGTCCCTCAGCCTTACAGGGAAGGGGATCCTGACACCGGCTACGACACGGTGCAGCCGGGGGCACGATGCTGAGTGAGATGAGCCAGACACAGAGACAAATACTGTCTGACTCCACTCATGGGAGGGGCCTGGAGGAGCCAAATCCAGAGAGAGAGGAAGGAGATGGTGGGAGCCAGGGACGGGGGTGGGGTGGGGGGGTGGGATTGAGTGCTTCATGGGGAC